GTTTCCAAATTGTGCCTCCACACACTGAAAGACTGTCCCAGAAGCAGCCTCCCTCCAGCATACTGCTCCGCGAAGTTTGCAACATTCACGCTTCCTGGTTCTTTCACTTTCTCTAAGGCCGTCAGTCTTTGCACCCCAGGCTCTTACACCCCACAGGCCTCCGCTTTGGGATTCCGTTTCTGTGAGACTTCCCTAACCTCCCACTCAGCTTTAGCCATTTAACAAATATTTGCTGAGCACCTACTATGGGCCAGTTTCTGTTCCAAGGCCACTGATTGGTACACCAGAAATTGGAGCCCTTAATGTTTTTATTTTTTATTTTTTGGCTTTTCGAGACAGCGTTTCTCTGTATTGTTTTGGAGCCTGTCCTGGAACTCGCTCTGTAGACCAGGCTGGCCTCCAACTCACAGAGATCCGCCTGCCTCTGCTTCCTGGGTGCTGGGATTAAAGGCGTGCCCCACCAACGTAATATTTTAATCGTGGTATTTACTACTGTGAAGTTGATAGCTTTCCTGTTTGCCAGTTTACAATCTGTTTATCCCAACCTAGAACCGAAAAGGCCCAGAAATTGAGGTCTCGCTGCTCTGTGCCCAGCCTCAGACAGTAGGTGTCACAGCACTTGAGAGATGGCTCTTGTTACCCCGGCAACCTGTGGATTTTCATCACACCTAGTCTACAGGCCAGGAAGTAGGCGGCCATCCTGATCAGGGCCGAATATGAGTCACCATGGCCTAAGCAATGACCTCTAAGGCCGTTGCTCTTTCTCCTGGAGAAGGTAGGTTGGAGCTGGAAATGGGAAAAATAGACGACAGACCTGCAGCATTCCAGCCGGAGCCGGTGACTCGGGACTCTATTGGAATGCTATGGCCTCCATCACCTGATCTCCCTATCGGCCAATCAGGACCAAGAACAGCTAGAGGGCTATTCTAAGTCAAAGGGATCAGTTATGGAGGGTTGAAGGATTCTAGCTGAGATTCTGGACATCACTAAGGGCAGGCAATAGACACACTGAGGTCTCCCCCTCCCCCGCCCCCGTGGGCCGTAAAAAACGGGAATTTAGAAAGACTCTATTGTTGGCTATGAGGAATGCAGGACAGGAGTGGGCAGAAGGTTCTGTGATGAAGTACCCAGCTTCAGCTTACACAACTAAGGGGTTCTCAGCCCTTCAGGCATGAGAAATACAGGAATTGCTGTTCCTATTTTAGCATTTAGCATAAGCTGATTTAGCAAAAGTCTTGATATAAATAAGTAATAAATGTAATTCTAAAAGTAAAAAACAAGCAAACCAGGATCATTTGTTAATGCAAAAAGGAGTACGAATAGATAAATGAAATCAATATGGAAAATAAGTTTAGAAAATAAGTTAAAATCAATATAAAGTGGTTCCCTAGTGGGTTTGGGGACAGTAAAGACTTTAGTGAGGAAAGTGATCTATGGAGCCTCTGCTTTAGTCAATTGTCCCATACCGATATTGATTTTTCAAAATCTTGATAAATGTGTCAGTGTTAAGATTGGAAATCAGGGCAAAGGGCACATGGGATTTTGCTAAGAACTCTGCGCTGCCTCTGCAACTTTCCTATCAATCAAAAACTCTTCCATGACACATTTGCTAAATCACACAGATTAAGTCCTCAGTGTGCGTAGCAGCTGCTCTGAGCTGACCGCTCCCTGCTTTACCTTTGTTTAAGTAGATCATAAGGGCCCGGGGGTGAAGGGCTGAGAGCACAGTCACTTGCTGTGGGGTCTTGCTGAGGCTGAGGCAGGGGGATCACAGGCCCAAGAGCTTTCTGGGATTTCTGAGTAAAGGGTCTCCAAAACAAAGAAGTGAGACAGGGGGTTGGGGCTACTGCTCAGTGGCAGAGCACTGACTGGGTAGGTCCTGTTGCCCAGAATCCAGAAAAAAGGATGGTTGACTCCTGCTGGGTGACTTTTCAGGGTCTGAGGGCATCAAACCACCTTCTGAAGAGAGAGAACTGAAGGAGACGGTGTTCTCCATGTGTGATTTGAGGCCGTTTAACGTGTGTCCATGTGCCCGTTAAAAATGTGTTGTGTATCACCAGGATATGACTTGCCGGCAAGTGTCAGACTGGGGGAAAATGCCAAGGACTCTCTTTATTGGAGGCTGGACCCAGGGTCTCAAGAGAGTGTATATACTGAGGTATAGTATATACACTCGTTTTAGGTCAAAGGAGGGCCTGTCATTCTTCACCCTTGTTTTGTAAGTCCTCAGTGAACCTAGAGCCACCCTCCCATTTCCAAGGGGGCAAACCAAGACTCAGACACATTTCGTAACTTCCTCCACGGTGGGCCAGAGCCCAGGGTCTCTCGGATGGTTCCTGCTACTCACATCCCCCTGTCACACTGCCTCTTTCCTCTGCCCCCTCCAGGACAGCACTGGCCATGGCTGCACTCTTGTCCCCAAGCTTTGAAGTTCCAGAAGATAGTTGGGGCCAGGTCAGCTTCAAAGAGTCAGAGGAAGGTAGTGCTAGACCACCTTTGCCCAGAGACCCCAAAGATGCCCTGGTTGGGGGCCGGAAATGACAACAAGGGGCATGTGAGTCTAGGTTACAAGCCAAGACTCAGGACAGTAGCCATTTGATCACCAGGCTGCACCTCCAGCTGGGGACTCCAGGGCTCCCACCAGCAGGGTTCCTGCAGGGAAGGCTGGAGGGGGAGGCAGCAGGGCAATCCCCTTCTTATCATTCTTCCTTCTGAAGCCTGCTGATCTCTGAGTTCTGGAATTTCTGGTTCCTGTAGTTTGTCTCATATTTTCGATGGTATTTCGTCCAAGCCCATAGGTGGGGGATCAGTTTCCAGGTCATTCTGTGTACAAAGGAGGCCTCTCGTTGAGACAAAACTCTGGGCTAATTCCCAAGAGATCTCTGGCATAGGCTGGCTGTGCAAGAAATTCACCTTTCTGATCTCAGTGTCTTCCTGTGTAAGAGGGAACACAACCGTTTCAACTTCACAAGGCTGTTAGGGACCCATAACTTGGCTGTTAGGGGAACGCCTGGCTCTCTTGTGAGTACTGGGTAAACACGCTCCCACCAAATGGAAACAAATGATATTTCCTTGACCAACTGAAGATTTGGGGGTGGATTTTGTCTCCAGGAAGTAAAATGGGCTTGGAGGAGTAGGTGGGGAGACTGGTAGCCATCCCACACTGTGCACACCCAAGGCCAATGGGTGAGATGCTTGAAGGCCCCTCCATCTACCTGCTCACCCTCTTGGAAAGGGTATTCTTCCAGCCCACACTGACTGCCTGTGAGAGTCCCAGTCCATGCACACCCCCAGCACTCTCTACACTGGGAACTGCCTGACCTTCTAAGCAAGTAAGGAGACATTGTGATTTTTAGGGCAGCATATTGCATATGGACATTTGTTTGCTTGGGCATTTATTAACTTTGCGTTGCTGGGGATGGATGGAACCCAGGGCTTCACACATTCCAGACAAGCCCTTTACCACTGAGTCCTACCCTCAGCCTGCCACACAATGAGACAGACGGAGTCCTTGCTGGGATCTCTAGGCAGGCATTCATAAGAGTACGAGCCCTCCATCTGCCTGTGGCTTGAGCCATGCCGTGAGCAGTTGGGACATCCTGTTTTTTGTTTGTTTGTTTGCTTGCTTGCTTGCTTGTTTTTTAAGACTAGTTGAGTCAGACTTACTCAGTCTGGGGAAGGGAAGGAAGCTGAGAGCCAAAGACTTTGCTCAACAGCATGTGACTACTGACTAGGGACGAGCACCCGGGACCCAGTGGCAGAGTCCTCTCATCACTCCTGACAAAGGTCCTGTCACCATGAACTGTGCCCTCTCGGCCTGTTATTCTCCTATTTCAGGAAATGGGGTGAATGGAAAAGGACCATGCAAGGGGCCCGGCGAATCCCTTCAGGGTTTCACAGGGACTTTCTGAGACATGCTTCCAGTCCCCACCCGACTCTTTGCCCTCCCGCCTCCACCCTGGCTGGCCCTTAACCTGGAACCCACCAGAGCTGACTACTGAGGGCAGATGCCTCCCTGTGTGAAGAAGACCAACCAGTCTTGAAGAGATGACCCAGGAACCTCTCTAGTGACTATAACACTGAGACTGAAGGGGGGGTGTCATTGCTGAGTACCGTTGCATTTACGAGATGGCTTATCTTTATGACAAAGGAGCAAATAACTGTGATAAGATGGGTGGCACCATCTGGAATGCTTTCGTTATGTCATGTGGGTCTGGAGAGCTGGGTCCTCTCTCTCTCTCTCTCTCTCTCTCTCTCTCTCTCTCTCTCTCTCTCTGTGTGTGTGTGTGTCCCCTTATAGCCTTGAGACTCGCTGAGTTAGGGCCTGATGGTGGACAACTGGTGATCTCAGTGGGGAGTCTGGGGACAATTCCTGGACCCAACCTCTCCACACCTCCCCATCTTTGTCTGCTGAACCTGGATATCCCCCTGACCAGCTTTACAAGTACACTGCCATGTGATTTCTTTCTTTCCCACCCTGGGGTGGACCCAGTAGGAAACCCTGATGAGACCTTTGCCATGCAGGGTTTAGGATGGGTGCAGCAATGACTCTGGAGAAAGCCAGCAGTGCTTCCATGGGCTCTGGCATCCCAGGAGGGAAAATGTACAACAGCTTGAAATGGCCACAAACTTCCTGGCACACAAAACTTAATAACCCAGACAAGAAAACGAAGCCAGCTACAAGGATTACAAAAGAGCGCTGCTTCTATTTGCTTTGTAGTAAGCTCAGTGTCCCAATATGTCCACAGAGTGGCAGATCCAAAACCCAGGAGCCGAGGAAGAGGGGTAGGGACCCCACTGCCCTTGAAGTCACTCATTTGGGGAATTGTCTCCTCTCCTTCCCCCTAAAAGTTTTAGCTATGCTACATAAGGGCAGGCATATGCAAGCCTATTGTCCCAGCACTGAGTCCTTGATCCAACACAGCCAGTCTGGCTTTGGCATGCAAGTCCAGTTCCCATGTGATTTCAAGGGGAGGCTCCTAGCCCATTTCCCATGTGGTTGTGAGATCTGGGGAACGGGGAGCCATGGTAGCATGAGGCCTTTAGGGATCCAGATCTCTCAGGCAATAGAAGTGATCTGGGCTTGCTTTTGCTCTCGGCAGAACAGAGTCCTGGGGCAAGGCCAGTTGCTGCTCTGGCTGTGGGGGTAACAGCAGAATAGGGTGGACATCAGCAGTGCCACAGCGATGATAAAGGCCAGCACCCACCGGATGACGCCCGGGTAGATGAAAGGCAGAATAAGGACAATGAGAAGAGCCAACAAGAGCAGGTGTACAGCCAAGCGCCGGGCAGCTACGCGGTTGACACTTACTACGTCCTGATCATCTTCTCCTGTCCAGTTGGCTGGCCGTGCTGCTGAAGTGGCAGAACCCACTAGCCCTTGGGGACACAAGCGCACCTCTGGGCATGGCAGGGCCAGCTGCCCTACCATCGCCTCCTGGTCTCGCAGGCTGCAGATAAGGCCTCCAGGGACAGCAGTGACCTTTCGGCACAGTGGACAGGGGATGGACCAGGTGTCTCCCTGAACGTATAGCAGAAGCTTCAGGCACACGGCACAAAAGGCATGCTGACAACTCAGCAGCTTGGGGGACCGGGCACAGTTGTAGGGCTCTCGGCACACCAAGCATTCCAGGTCACCCTCCGCAGAGATATTGAGATGGCCAGTGGGACCCAAGGCAATGATGGTGGTTGTGGTGGTGGCACCCACTGGGATGGGCTGAGGAGCCTCCGTGCAGGACATTCTGGGTACCGAGTTGCTGAGATGAAGCTGTTCCACGCAGGGACATCCACAAGGAGTGTCCACCGGTGCTGCTGGGACTTGCATGGATTCTGGCCTTGTGGGGACGCTTC